CCGTCGGATATAACTCTGGACTCAATTGAAAATTAATTCCAACACCATTTGCTATGCTAATTATATTGGTCCATTGTCAGATTATTTAATGGCCCAATAACGGGAAAATTTCAAAACTAGTCCCACAGGTATAGGGGGGTGACATTTTTGGTCCCAACGGAATTCAAAAAATATTAATAGTCCCGCAGCTTTTAAAAAACAATCAAAAGTAGGACTTTTTTCAATTTTCCGGCCTGGTATGCCACGTGGCACACACGTGGCGGGACTATTTAAGATTTTATGAATTTTTTTGGGACCAAAAATGTCACCTCCCAAAACCTGTGGGACTAGTTTTGATTTTTTTTCCTTGCCATTGTACTCGCCACGTCAGATGAATGTGGCCACGTGGCATTCCGGGTCGGAAAATTGAAAAAAGTCCTACTTTTGATCATTTTTTAAAAGCTGCAGGACTATTAATATTTTCTGGATTCCGTTGGGACCAAAAATGTCACCCCCCTATACCTGTGGGACTAATTTTGAATTTTTCCCGCTCCAATTCTGACGGTAGTCGGGTAGTGTCGATTAATTTGAAGTTTGCGCCAGAGACTTTTTTTTTTCCATAACTACCAACTAATTTGTCTTTTGATTTCGGAACCGTCTTGCTGAATAAAAATAGATTTATTTATTTATTTTATCTCTTTCGTGTTTTTCTGTTTGTTTTAAATTTGAACTATGAGGTTGGAATTTGACATATTCAGTTTTAGTGGAAAATGAAATATGTGACAAAAGGTTTGGGACGTCTTGCTTTCACTTGTTATTTATTTTGGTACAATAAAGAAGGCGGAATGCCTAAAAGAAAATGCTAATCTAGAAATCCTAGTCTAGAACTCGGCAAGGGTAAGACACTCCCATAATGTCGTGATCAAGCTGGGTTCCCATTCCAAGGGGAGGTGAAGAAACCCGCTGCAATCCGAGCCGGTAAGATGACGCCAGACTCGACATATGTTCTGCTGCAAAATTCGCCTCTCTATGCACATGTTGGATCCTAACACTCTAATCCCGTTAGACCATACTACGAATAACTGAGACAACCGCTGCACGAGTCCAGATATTGTCCTCGGATCCAAGGATCAGTTGGGTTATGCATTTGCTATCTACCTCGACAATGATAATTCGAAAGCCCCGATGCCAAGCCATCTGTAAACCAACCTTGCAGGAGGCCCCATAGCTCGGCCCTCGTAATAGTGCAATACCCAATATTCATTAGGAACCCTTCGATCCATGTTCTCACCTCGCCGTGAAGCAGCCCTCCGGCACTAGTGAGGCCCGTGGGGATATCAACGCTCCATCTGTATTAAGCTTGACCCACCCCGACTCCAGCAGAGACCAACATATCATGTGAGTGCCGTGGAGGGTGGCGCCGACCTGCGCGTAAGCTGCCGCTGCTCGGCCGTAATTCTCCGCCAGACGAATAACCTCCAAGCATCGCACCTCGCAACTAAGAACTCTTTGGTTAAAAACCCGATCATTCCGCCACCCCCATGTTCTCCATGCAGCAATAGAGAAGAGAGTCCCCCAGTTATCCACTTGGCCAACCCGAATCCTCACTAAATTCCGGCGCAACCAAATTCGTAGGGGCAGTTGGAAAAACTCACAAACATGTATGTATCAACCATGAAAATATTCTCTGTACTGTTTCTTTATCGATTTGCTAATCTTCTCATTTTTATAATCTGATATGTATCAACCATGCTAATATTTTCATTCTCTGTACTGTTTCTTTATCCTGCATGCTAATATTTTGTGTAGCGTTTGCTAATCTTCCCATTTCATTGTGCTAATATTCTATTATATATCGTTTGCTAATCTTCTTTGTATGATTAGCAATCTCCAGCTTTATCGTGTTTGTAACGTTTCTTCAATTTTATAGTGCTAAATTCTTCTCTTTATCGATCATGTTTTCCAATTTGTATCGTTCCAATTTGATCCTGTTGAATTAATCATCAAGCATCAACACTCATTACTACGTACAACATGCAAATTCAAGAAATTACAAGACATGAAAAGCTTTGAAAACAATCAAACATCCAAAGCTAATTCCAACATCGTAACAATTTATTCATAAACTACACGACAGACAAACAAAAAACTAATTAAACACTGTAAATCGGCATAACCGATCGACCAAACACCTAAAAAAAAACCACGGAGAAAAAGTCATTTAACCGGGCCCAACCCGTGCCTTCCCCCACCAAACGTGATGTACGAAAACACCCCCGCAGACTTGTCCTCATCCCGGCCCGGCCCGGCCCGTCACAAACCTATCTAGGTCGTAAGTATCAGGATCGTTGTATATATGCGGCAGCCAGTTGGCAAAAGCTGGTGACATGGCAACAATATGCCCCTTTGGAATATCATACTCTTTCCCTTCCTTAGTCGTGACACTGAATTCTCTGTACGAGCATCGTAAAAGCATAGTCAATGGTGGGTGAAACCTCAGAGCCTCTTTTATGCATCGGTATAGAATTTCCACTTCGGACAAAACATTGTAATTGACCTCAATCCCATACTTATTCACCAAGTTCTTTTGCTCGGATAGAATTTCCACTTCGGACAAAACATTGTACTTAGGGTTGCAAAGCAGATAAATCCCGGTCCATGTCGAGGTAATCGAGCTCGTTTGCTGCCAAATAAGGCAGCAATCAAAAGACCAGTCACCTCGGACTCATTCGTCGGCCGACTGTCTTTGTACTTGGAATCTGTGAAGCACTGTAATAAGTCGTTATGGGAACTGTAAAAATAGCGAGACGCCGAGCCTCGCCTGTTGCCGCCTAGTCCTGCTTGGCTGATTTTTACGACCGATAAGACCAAATTGTAGGCCGCATTCTTGCGCCTAGCGCCTAGGCGCCCACCTAAGCCAATATTTAGTACATTGCCTTTGAGCGAACGAACAAACTGATTAATGAGATAATCGTCATGTGTTCTTGTATTGTTCCATGTGTTGATAAAATGAGCTACATGTTGTTTCGGGATGCCCTTCACATTGGACTGTTGGAACTTGGAAGGTTGATATCCAACAGTCATCTTGGAACCACTACCAAGCATATCCTTAAGCGTCCCCATAATAAAATCCTTGAGTTGATCGACATGGATAATTCCCTCAGATAAGAGTTAGAATGTTGGCGTCTTATTTATTTCATCACATTGCTCTTGTTTGGATGTTTCAGCCTCGTCACGTTCTTCAGGTTGTTTGCCCGTCATGCTTCTCATTTAACATTGTCCACTTTGTCCATTAGCTTTGAGATCGCGAGCCCTTCAATAACATTTTTTAATATTGCGATAAAATATTAAAATTTTGATGTCTACGCTCTGGTCAATGATTCTTGATTTGATTTAATTTCAAAAAAAATTATACTTTCGTCAAAAGAGTTAATAATTTGATTTAATATGACGATAGATTATACTCGTGTCAAAATAGTTCTTAATTCTATTTATGGACTTTTTATACTCGTGTTAAGTAGCCTTTAAATTAATTTACAGATATTTTATGCTCGCGTCAAGGAACTTTCGAATTTGTGTTTAATCTCATATCAAGGGATCTTCGAATTCGTAAATATTTGGTGCTCATGTCAAGGAGTTTCGTAGATATTTTAGGTTTGTATCAAACAACATCATAGATAGTTTATGCTCATATTAAGGGCATTGTAGATAGTTTATGCTTCTATCAAAGAGCATTTGAATTTATAGATAGTTTAAAATCATAAAAAAAAGAACACTGTAGATAGTTTAGACTCGTATAAAAAAACATTATAAATATGACACACCTTGAATTTTTTTATTTATTTATTTATTTATTATTTTATTTTTTTTTTTGGTACAGAGGTGGGAGAGGGCGCTCAACAAGCTACCCTACGATGATAAGCCACTCCAACAACACCGTGCTCTAGCCATGGCTTCAAGACAGCTGGCGGAAACTCTAAACGCTGCAGACCACCTGGGCTAGTTGCACTAGTGAAGCCAAGTAATCAGCCGCGAAATTTGATTCCCGGTAGACATGCCAAATAAACACATTTCAATAACGATGTAGCATCTCCTTCGTAGCCCGAACTAGACTACCATGCACCCCTTCTACTTCGACCCGATCATTCACCACATCCGCCACCACCTTACTATCAATATCGGCTATACCTCGGCGATACTCCAAATCCCAAGCTAACATCAAACCTTGCAAAAGACCCCATAATTCCGCACCCATAATGGAGCTAAAGCCGACGTTCATGATGAATCCACCTAGGAACCTACCATTGTGGTCACATAACAAACCACCCGCACTCGCCATGCCTGTAGAGGTGTTTAAAGTGCCATCTGAATTACTCTTTATCCATCCCGTTCCCGGCGGTTCCCAACAAATCATTCGATCCCTACGGAAATTCCGATGATGCCCAAGCTGCAAATTGCTGGACACGGCTCTCTTCCATGACTCAACATAGCATTGGACGTCGCTAACATTCCTCTCAACCACAAGCTCGCGACCATAAAAAGTAAAATCATTCTATCTATGCCACAGCCGCCACACACTGACGCCAAAGTTGTAGTCCCAGCTCTCATCAGAATTCGCCACCTTGTTGGATAAATTCGTCTCCAGCAACGTAGCCAAATCCGATAAAGAAATCGGCCCAACGCGAACGGGGGAGTACCTTCTTCCAGAAAAGGGTCGAGGGCTCACAGTCACGCAACACATGGAGAATAGACTCCGTCTGGGTTTTACATAATGCACATAACGGGCTGTCCACCAGATGATGCCAGTGTCGCTCGTCGTTAGTCAGTAACCTCTCTTTCGCAGCCAACCATAGGAATTGTTTAACCCGTTATGGGCCAACCCAACCCCATACCAGTTTCTAAATGCGACGGTTAGGAGTCAACTCCGTAGGTGCTAAAGAGACATAAGCTGAACGGGTCGTAAATTGACCATTAGATGACCAACCCCAAAACATGCGGTCATAACCGGCCCTTTCCCGAGAGGCAAAATTACCGAGATTCTAAGGAGATCCGAAGGCCGGAGTAAAGATGAGAATCTTTGCCAACCCACTGCCCCGCGTCATCAACGTACCTGGAAACGGTCGATGACAACTGCTCATCTGGAATCACACCCCTAACACGGTTAATTAAAGCTTCTGAGAAATTTAGCCAGTTATCCCACTAAAAAAGAATACGAGACCCACCTCCTATTAACCATCTCGTGCCCTTGACGACAAACGACTAGACTCTGGCAATTGGACGCATGACCACCGAGCCCGATGAGCAAGAAAATGCCTAATTTGAATTTCTCTGACATTTCATGTTAACTGTCGACAATGCGAGCAGTTGGATCTTATATTTGGCGCATAGGACCCGCACCCACAACGAATCGGGCCTGCTTAACAAACCCCAAGCGAGCTTCATCAGTAGAGCCGTATTCATACACCTCTGGTTTTTTAAACCCATCTCGTCCTCCGCTTTAGGCGAGCACAAAGAACTCCAATTAACAAGAAGAACTTTTCTTTCATTGCGTGAACCACCCTTAACAAATCGCCGGCAGCTCTTCTCTAGTCCTTCACATACCGCCGACGGGATTCAAGCGGTTTGCATAGAATAGTAAGGCAAGCTACTCACCACCGACTGTGTTAAGGTGATCCTGCCTGCCAGCGATAGAGACGAAGCTTTCCAACCAGCCAGTCGATGCTCCGCCTTCTCCAGTATGCCCTCGTAAGTTCGTTTTTTGACCTGCCCGTGTATTATTGGCATACCAAAGTACTTACCCAGATTCTCCACCGGCCGAAAGCCGGTGCTTTGAGCAAGGTGTTGCTTGACATATTCCTCCACATTTGACGAAAATAAAATGCTCGTTTTAGACACACTGACCTTCAAACCCGATGCATTGCAGAAAACCGAAAGCACCTTATTAAGCACATCCACTTGATCGGGAGAGGCTTCCATGAATAACAACAAATCATCCGCGAACATAAGATACGGAACAATCACTTCCCCTCGGCCTATTGAGATCGGACTTAGGCGCCACACGCCTTGATCAACTTTAAGGTTGATAAGGTGAGTCAACCTCTCCATAGCCAAGACGAAAAGGTACGGTGAAATAGGATCTCTTTGTCGCACACCACGCGAGGGAGTGAATTCCTCCGTGATGGTGCCATTAAAATTAAGATGCATGTGTGTTGATGTGATACATGTCATAATCCCACGAACAAAAATATCCGGTAAACCCGATAGTCGAAGAGTATCCTCAATAAAGTCTCACCGAAGATAATCGTATGCCTTCTCCAAATCCACTTTGACCAGGGGTACAAACATCGTTCGGGATTCTCCAGCTTTACTCGTTCGACGCACCTTAATTTTTTGTATAATTGGTTGTTGGCTCTGTAACGGAGCCAACAGTTGACTCCTTAGTATTACTGTTGAATTATATAGTATTTATATAGTAGGCCCAATGACAACAGCCCACTGTTTCGCTTTCATGAAATCCAGATCCAACTCAAATTTAGTGCTGTTAAATTAAACGAGCCTGGCTCGGCTCGGCTCGAGCTCGGCTCGTTAAGGCTCGGTTCGGCTCGAGCTCGAAGCCTTAACGAGCCGAGCTCGAGCTCATTTAAAGCTCGTTTGGTTAACGAGCCGAGCTCGGCTCGGCTCGATAAAGCTCGTTAAGGCTCGAAAAATGAAATTTATGTAATTTTTTATAGTTCGGCTTGTTAAAGCTCGAGATCGGCTCGTTAAGGCTCGAGCTCGAGGCCTTAACGAGCCGAGCTCGAGCTTGATTTTTGGCTCGTTTACTTAACGAGCCGAGCTCGGCTCGGCTCGTTAAGAGCTCGAGCTCGAGCTCAAACACCATAAGCTCGAGCTCGGCTCGGCTCGTTTACAGCCCTACTCAAATTCCACCACCCTCTCGTCTTCATTATTAGCTCTATTTTATATATAAACCTCCGTAAAATCACAGTCTTTAGCACTGCCTAATCCTAATCTCTACCGCCATTAATCCTCACATCCATCATCTTTTTCACCAGGTAAGCCTCGAAACCAATTTTCATCCATGTTCAGTTCTTCTCCACATTGAACTCAATTTACGAATTCGAAATTATAATAAAAATTGAGTATCTTCGATTTGATTTGCAGAGCATAATTCTGGATTTGCAATGGAGTCCCTCGATTCGACCGGCAGCAAGGTTCTGAGCGTCGGGCTTTTGCTAGCCGCCACTCTATTGGCGGCGAAGCTGATCTCCGCCCTGATAATGCCCAGATCCAGGCGGCGCCTGCCGCCTGTGGTTCGCGCGTGGCCGGTTCTCGGCGGTCTAATCCGGTTCATGAACGGGCCGGTGGTGATGCTCCGCGAGGAGTACCCTAAGCTCGGGAGCGTGTTCACCCTGAAGCTGCTGAACAAGAGCATCACGTTCCTGATCGGGCCGGAGGTCTCGGCCCATTTCTTCAAGGCGCCTGAGTCCGATCTCAGCCAGCAGGAGGTTTACCAGTTTAATGTACCGACGTTCGGGCCCGGCGTGGTGTTCGATGTCGATTATACTATTAGGCAGGAGCAGTTCAGATTTTTCACGGAGGCGCTTAGGGTTAACAAGCTCAAAAGCTACGTTGATCAAATGGTTATGGAGGCTGAGGTATGTGGTTGGTAGTTATTGTTTCGTGTTCGTTTTTATTTTTTGTTTCGATTGTTTGGTCGATTTTGATTAGGGCCTCAGATTATTGATTTATCTCTGGTTTTTAGTGGAGTATGTATTGAAAGAATGAATGGGGGAAAAGGAAAAGTGATGTCAATCTATAAACAGAATAAACTCATAGTCATGTGTTTACATTATCGATGTCGAATCTTGATTCAAAAACTAGATTAATACGAGTTGTAAAACGAAAAGAGTTGCTCTGCATGAGCTGGACTCGGCTTGAAAAACAGAGGATTTTATGTAATTTTCTGTAACCTCAGCTCGTTTAGGCTCGTGCTCGACTCGACTAGTTTACACCTCCAGTTGTGTAATTATGCAAGAGAGTTGATTCGTTACACTGTAGTGTCCTGTTTAGTGTGAAGAAAAGAGAGAAATTGCCGTGTTTGTGTTAATGATAGAATCTTGTCAAACTGTGTTCTTCCTTAAGTTCACACTCGATTTTTATTTTTTTTTTAAATGGGTTCCAAGAGATAATTGACTAATAAATACTTCTCAGGAATATTTTTCGAAATGGGGAGACAGTGGCGAAATCGACCTAAAGTACGAGTTAGAACATCTAATTATTCTGACCGCCAGTCGGTGTCTGTTAGGCGAGGAGGTCCGCAACAAACTCTTTGATGATGTTTCTGCCCTTTTCCACGACCTCGATAGTGGGATGCTCCCGATTAGCGTCATCTTCCCTTACCTCCCGATTCCAGCCCACAAACGTCGGGACAAAGCCCGCAAGAAGTTAGCCGAAATTTTCGCAAACATAATAGCTTCACGTAAAAAAACGGGCACTTCTCAGAACGATTTATTACAGTGCTTCATAGATTCCAAGTACAAGGATGGTCGGCCGACGACCGAGTCTGAGGTGACCGGACTTTTGATTGCTGCCCTATTTGCCGGGCAGCACACGAGCTCGATTACCTCGACTTGGACCGGTGCTTATCTGCTTTGCAACCGTAAGTACCTGTCGGCCGTTTTGGATGAGCAAAAGAACTTGGTGAATAAGCATGGGAATGAGGTCAATTATGACGTTTTGTCCGAAATGGAAGTTCTCTACCGGTGCATAAAAGAGTCTCTGAGGCTACACCCACCGTTGATTATGCTTTTACGAAGCTCGCACAGCGATTTCAGTGTCACGACTAAGGAAGGAAAAGAGTACGATATTCCAAAGGGGCATATTGTTGCCACATCACCAGCTTTTGCAAACCGGCTGCCGAATATATACAAGGATCCGGATACTTATGACCCGGATAGGTTCGGGCCAGGTCGGGATGAGGACAAGGCCGCGGGAGCATTTTCATACATCTCGTTCGGTGGGGGAAGGCACGGCTGCTTGGGCGAGCCGTTTGCTTATTTGCAGATAAAGGCGATATGGAGCCATCTGCTTAGGAATTTCGAGATGGAGCTCGTCTCGCCTTTCCCGGAGATTGACTGGAATGCTATGGTTGTTGGGGTGAAGGGGAAAGTGATGGTTAGGTACAAACGCAGGCCCAGCCCGGTTAACTGAATGGTTGATTGTGTTTCGACGCGTGATGAATTTTCTCTGTGGTTTTATTTTTTTAGGTGTTTGGTTGATCGGTTTATGCCCATTTCCAGCGTTTGGTTTTCTGGCTTTCGTGTAGTTTATGAATAAGTTGTTATGATGTTCTTGACTGTTTGTGTTGGACTTAGATTTGGATGTTTGATTGTTTTCTAAGCTTTTGGTGTCTTGTAATTTCTTGATTATTTGCATGCTGTAGTGATGAGTGCAATTAGAGTCGAAGTTATTCTTTTTTACAGCCTTACAGGTGTTATTGGTATTCTAATGCTCGTATAATCCGATACAAAGAAGATTAGCATGATACACGTAGAAGATATAGCTTTGATTAGCAAAGAACAATACGACCAAAGAAGATTAGGTACATTATAGAGAAGATTAGCATGGCGGATAAAAATAGATTAGCATGATACACAGAAGATTAGCTTTGATTAGCATAGAACAATATGAACCGTGAGGAGAGAAAATTAGCACGTGAAATAGCTATCCGTAAGATGAACTTGCCACCAATTAATGCCCATGGTTTTCGACAAACATTTCTAAGATACTACAACTTTTGTCTCGTGTTTATAACTTTCAAGTAATGAAGAAAGAATGAAACACAAGATGAATATGAGTTGTCTTATGTTCTTTTTCAATCTCATATCTTTATGTTAAGTAATAGGTATTTATAGATGTTGTTGGACATCTCCAAGGGTTCATGGCATCAAACGACATCTTTCGAAACTTGTCCGGTTGTCCAAAATTGAATTGGAACCTTTTTGGCACGAATTGATGCATTCGGATTGCGAGCTCATCTGGCCCCAACAAGCCTTTGCGCCCATCGTTGCGCTCGAGATGGGCCTGGCACGTTAGGAGCCCTTACTTACTCGTCCAGCATCTGAATTGTGTCCAATTTTTTTCTACTCGTCCCAATCGAAACATTCTAGAGTTCAAGCAGGCCTATTGCTTATTTATAACTTGTTTAGCTTGTCCAAACATTCGTTGACTGAAAATTTGATAATTCAACAATCTCAGTTACTTAAATTCAATTTTGAGTTACATGAACTCATATTTTGTCATATTTCAACTATAAAATTTATTTTACATTCTAACCTACTATTTTATGAAGTTTTATTGATAGTATTCCACTTACGAAAAATAGAACCGATATAAAATCAATTTAGAACCGATATAAAATCAAATTTTCTTACAATTATGTCATAAAACCAATAACTGAAATATAAAAATCACTAATCGAAATAAAAATCGAAAAGCGTAGCAAAGGCCAATAAACCACAGCTACCAACAACATAGCATCACTAATACAAAGCTGTGAAAAATTACAGTACACAAGAATGTCCCAAAAATGTACAAAAATAAATTGAAATTACTAAGCTTAAATCTCCGCCGTAGCCTGCCACAGATTAATAATGTCGGTGGCCTGATTAAGCAGCACCACCGCCTGCTTCCTCGATATCCACGGCTTGCTCTCAAGGACAACCCTAAGCTCGTCCCAGGCGTCCTTTCTCGGCCAGAAATAGTACGGACTTACCGGGATAGTGCCGTGGCCGCCGGGAATCACCTGGTCTAGGGCGATGCCGACGTTCTTATCCATCCAGACGAACTTCAGGACCAGCCTAGGCCGCTCCATTGGCTTAGCGACCACCAAGCGCTTCTTCATTGGCCCGTCCTCCTCGCCGGAGGCCGATATTTCTAGGGTTCCGGCGGAGGACGAGGCGGTTAATTTGAGCAATTTGGGGTTCGATCGGTTGGGGGTTTTGAGTGGGAAGTGATTTGGAAGCGTTTTTGTCGCGAGCAGGAGGTTTGAGGGGCGGATTGTGGGACATGGTTGGACTCCAGCGGCGATTGACATTATCGTCGTTCTGCGTCTGGGCCTGCAGAAGGTGAAATGTGGGCGATGACGGGAGATAATGCGTTTTTTGTTTTTTTTTTTCAGAAGCGTGCTAGCGTTGGTTGCATTCTTGGGCCTTAATTATCGCTGTGGCAAGCCCAGAAGAAAGCCCGATTGAATTTTTTACTGAAATTGTAAAATATTAGGGCTCTTGTTAATGTTTAGGCTAATTTGTAAAGCCCGGATGGGTTTTTTGATTGAAATAGTGATAGTGGGAGCTCTGTGGAGTCTTCCGAGCTTAGATGCTACTTTATGGTATGAAAAATTTTGGTATTTTGTAACTATCTATTTGAATTTTGAACGTCTATCCACACCTATTAAAATATTCAAAATTATAAATTGTTTGACTATTTTAAATTACGAGTGTTGGATTTTGCTCTTTGTCCCACATCGATTGTGGAATGAAAGAGAGGAGATTTTTCCCCTATATAAGAAGGTGCTACTTCTTATGTAAAATCATCCCACAGAGTTATTGTGTTAACAATTAATCTCTGGTAAAAAATTCCTTAGGGTAAAAATTCCTTAGGGTGAGAGTTAGGGTTAACGAGTAAAAAATTCTGTGGGATAATTTTGGGTAAGTGAGTGGTAGAAAAATTGTGTAATTTTTTTTTTACATAGTGGATTTTCTACGGCCTTGTTACCCTGGTGGTTTTTCCCTCTTCGTTAACAGAGGGTTTTCCACGTTAAATTTTGTGTTCTCCAGTTTTTTATTTTCAGAGGATCTTGGGCGGAGTTTCGGTGTGTTTGGAATTCCCAACAAGTGGTATCAAGAGCGAGGTTAGCCTAGTTGGTATTCTGAGTATGCTTTGTGTTTGCAGTTTTGTCTGATCTTCCACATCATAAAAGATACCAAAGAGGTTTGTTCGTGCGGTGGAGCTAGTGACGGGTGGAGCTTGTGCGCAGAGAGTTTTTTTGGGCAGTGGAGGGAATAGTTACTGTGTAAGTAGGTTCTGTCTAGGAGACTGTTTTTTAAGTGGGACCGTTGTGACCCCACCAGCCTTTCCTGGGAGCTTACTTAGAAGGGTAATTCTTTAGGGGGCAGGTCGCTACCCTTCCTGAGAATTTATCTGATCAGTACTATTAAAGGTTGCTGCTCGGTTTTCTGCGAAGTTAGTGTTCACTGATTCACGAAGATGTCTGGAAATAAGATATCGAATTTGGCGAGATTTGATGTGGAGAAATTCGACGGAAAAATCAACTTTGGCTTGTGGCAAGTGCAAGTGAAGGACGTGCTGATTCAGTCGGGGTTACACAAAGCTTTGAAGGGCTCGAAAATTCCCAAAGGCAGTGCTACTAGCACCACTGAAGAAAAAGTTGGTGTGAGCAAATCTGGAATGAGCGATGAAGATTGGGAGGAACTGGATTTGAGAGCGGCAAGCGCGATACGACTGTGTCTGGCCAAGAATGTTCTTGCTAATGTGCATGGAATTTCGACGGCAAAAGCATTATGGGACAAGCTTGAGGAGTTGTATCAGGCTAAAGGCGTCTCAAATCGGGTGTATCTGAAGGAGCAGTTTCACACACTGCGAATGACTGAAGGTCAAAGCATCTCAGACCACTTAAGCGTTCTCAATGGGATCGTCTCGGAGCTGGAATCCATTGGAGTGAAGATTGATGATGAGGATCAGGCGTTGAGACTCATCTGGTCTCTTCCAACTTCTTATGAACACATGAAACCGATATTGATTCATGGGAAGGAGAAAATTGTATTTTCTGAAGTCACTGGTAAACTTCTTGCGGAAGAGAGAAGGCTAGATGGTGGACGAAACAATTCACCGGAAGGTCAAGTCATGCTCGTCGGTGACGGAAAGAAGAGGAACTCCAGGAAGAAGCAAGTTGTGATTTGCTGGACGTGTGGACAATCTAGGCACGTGAAAAGAAATTGTCCGCAAGAAGGAGCAGGTTCGGCAAAAAGCTCGAAGTCGGTAAGTGGAGATACCGAAGAAGCTAATTTTGTCTCTCTCTCTCCATGGATGAGTTTTGCTAAGAGAGAAAGGGGAGTCCTTATGGCATGTCGCTAAGTGTCATGAAAGAGGACGTGTTAAAATTAGCGGGTCCACAATTTACACACGGGCATTGGTTTGGCGGTGATGCAAGGTGTGTGGTGGAAAAAGCGTGTCGAGGGCTGATGAACTTCCAGGAAAGCCAAACGTGGAAGTTGCACCATAGATTTCAGCAAGGTTATTTCGACATGGGCCGAAGAAATGCTTGGATGCGAGTCCGAGTGGATATGCTTTTATGGTGGAGCATGATGGCGAAAGCTATGAAAAATTTCATCAAAGTGAATAGTGGCTGTCAGATGGGCCAAAATCGCAAGGTGGAGTTTGTTGGGTTTTGCTCTTTGTCCCACATCGATTGTGGAATGAAAGAGAGGGGATTTTTCCCCTATATAAGAAGGTGCTACTTCTTATGTAAAATTATCCCACAGAGTTATTGTGTTAACAATTAATCTCTGGTAAAAAATTCCTTAGGGTAAAAATTCCTTAGGGTGAGAGTTAGGGTTAACGAGTAGAAAATTCTGTGGGGTAATTTTGGGTAAGTGAGTGGTAGAAAAATTGTGTAATTTTTTTTTACATAGTGGATTTTCTACGGCCTTGTTGCCCTGGTGGTTTTTCCCTCTTCGTTAACAGAGAGTTTTCCACGTTAAATTTTGTGTTCTCCAGTTTTTTATTTTAAGAGGATCTTGGGCGGAGTTTCGGTGTGTTTGGAATTCCCAACAACGATTACAATTTTTAATGTTAATAATTTTTTGTACTTGTTGAAAGTTTTTTATAATTCAATATATCAAATTCATTACAAGTTTCAATTTCACTATGGCATATATAAACATTAAATACTCATGAGTACTATATGAAAAATAATATTCATTTACCAATAAATAAATTTATCTATAATCTCATTATGTATATGGATTTGAATAATAATCATTTACTAAAAATAGTCCAATCCCCTCAAAATCGACTGTGCATTCTCTTGTGCACATAATTTGTGGAGCGCATGTTTTGTTCTTAAATTCACCCAAAAATCTCCGCCAAGTGCAAACCATCGGCCCTGCCGCCCCTACGCATGTAACTTGCCAGCCCACCTCATCTTAATATCTCATATAATTACAATCCTACCCCTAATCTTGTAAACCAATCTCAGCCGTCTATTGCACTCTCCAAATCCTATTCGGATTCGAACAAAATAGATATTAGCCCTAAAACGCTTGAAACTGACGCAAAAAATCCTCCCAAAAAACCTACAGAGAGAGCAACAAACAGAAGAAGAGCGAAAAGCAAACATGGCGGCAGCAGTTAGCGCGTGGGCGAAGCCAGGCGCGTGGGCTCTTGACGCTGAGGAGAACGAGTCGGAGCTCCTCAAGCAGCACCAGGAGGACGACGCGGCCGCCGGCGCCGGCGCGGATTTCCCGTCGCTCAGCGCCGCCAAGACGAAGAAGAAGAAGAAGCAGCAGGCGTTGTCCCTCCAGGAATTCTTCAAGCCGGAGGCCGCCCAGGGTAAGGGCCTGACGCAGGACGAGCTCCTGGCCCTCCCCACCGGCCCCCGCCAGCGGACGGCCGAGGAGCTCGATCGGGGGAAGCTCGGCGGCGGATTCAGGAACTACGGCGGCGGGATCAGGGACGAGCAGCCCCGCCGAGGGGGAGGCTTTAACCGCGAGCCCAGCCGCGAATTCACGCCGTCTAGGGCGGATGAGACCGACAATTGGGCGACCGGGAAGAGATCGCCGGTTGGATTTGGCGAGAGAAGGGAGAGGGGAGAAAGAGGTGGATTTTTCGGTGATTCACAGTCCCGGGCGGACGAGGTCGACAATTGGGCTTCGAAGAAGAGCTTCGTGCCGTCGGAGCCCAGGAGGCATGAGAAAAGAGGTGGGTTTGGTTTGGAATCGGGCAACGGTGGCTCAGATTCGGACAATTGGCTGAAAAGGAAGGAAGAGGAGAGGCCGAGAGTCGGAGGTTCTTTCGATAGCTTGAGGGATAGAAGAGGGGGTTCTGATGCAGACTCGGAGACTTGGGGGAGGAAAAGAGATGAATCGGGTGTGGGTTTTGGCAGTGGCCGGCCCAAATTGAATTTGCAGCCGAGGACTTTGCCGGTAGGTGAAGGGCAGAAAGATGAGTTTTTGGGCTCGGCTAAGCCCAAGTCCAGCAACCCGTTTGGGGCGGCCCGGCCCAGGGAGGAAGTGTTGAAGGAGAAGGGCCAGGATTGGAAGGAGATTGAGGAGAAACTCGAGTCCATGAAGGTGAAGGAGGCTGCCCCTGTGGGCCCAAAGAGGAGCTTTTGGAGCGGGAATGGGAGGGAAAGGCCGCATGTGGAGGAGAAGAATGCGTGGAGGAAGCCAGAATCTAATGGTTCTCATCCACAGAGGTTTGTGATTTAGGTTTTGAATTCGAGTGGAGGATACTTGTGTATAATCTTGATTGTTGAGATTCTTTTATATTTTCCTCTATTGATTGAGTTGGTTTTGAGAAAGTGTGATTTGTTTTGATTGGGGTTTAGTCATGTGTATCTATTTTGATTGGTTTTGTCTTGTCTATCTGAAGTTGATACTTGATACCCATTTTTTTGACCTATCATGAGTTTTGATTTTCTTATTCAGTATAGTAAGTCTGTGTTTTACTGTAGTTGAGTGTATGATCTTTTGATTGTTCATTTGTATGTTATTAATCTGGATTTGTAACTTTTAGCTGATGGTAGGAAGATGCTGTCTTGTTAGTATATTTTTGGATAGTTATATATGCTTGTTAGGTTCATATTATATAAGTCTTTCGTGGCCAGCATGTGAGGTTAATTATGATGCAAGTCTGTAGTCTATTTATGAATTTGTTTTGCATCAATTAACTTGGAATTGTAAACTGTTTTTGGTTATGAGTGTTTGCTATAGCTGTTATGTTGGTTATGTAGTATGTTCATTGAAGATTGTCTTCTTTTTGTTATGCTCGAAATATTGGATTTTGTATGTCTGGTAAATTTTTAAGTTTTCTTCGAGCCGTTGACAGTTAAGGATGCCATGAAAGAGCTCATTGTAGTAGTAGTAACTAAATCATCACACATTTTTTTGCTGCTTTTTTTTTTCACTGATTTCTATTATTCTATATATGGCTAAAATATTTGGGGCTGCTTCATGATTAGTTGAAAACCCTTGTTCAAGAAACTTGAGGGTTTGGAAGCGAATCATTGATTTGCTCTTGGTCATATATTTGTGTGAAGATAGTATTGTCCGAGCTGTTATTGGACTTAGTTTTTACCTTTTCTCTTGTAGTGCTGGTGAATCTGAAAATGGATCGGCTGTGAATACTGTAAACGGGTCTGCCATTAACACTGAAAATGGACATGTTGAAGAGGTTGAGGCGAAAGACACACAAGTGTAATGAAGATGGTGTGAGCTTTTGAAGGCGAAGAGGTTGAACTAGACATTGGCTGATAGGATATTTGATATATTTTCCTTTCTTTTTTTTTTTAGTTTAATTTTTATTTTTTTTTTTCATACAGAAGCAATAAGCCATTGCACTGCACAATATAGAGAAATTTTGGTAGACTTGTGGTGGCTATTTATGGTTCCGGTGTAATTTTCGGAGTTCTGGATTTTGTTATATGTTGGTTTGGTATCTGGAACTGATGTTATGCAGACTTGTTCTTGAACATAAAAATATTGATTATTCTTCTGTTATTTTACCTATGTTTTTTTACCTCTTGGTTTCCCACAAGTTTATTTGTAAACTATACAAGAAAACTGACTTATTACAAATGCAGTCTGATGTGTGGTTGGTTGGGGACTTTGCTAGTAATTTGGTGGTAGCTTTATGAGAGGTTTTTGCAAGGAAAACCTGAAAACATTAATGGCGGTTGACTTTACAAGTTATGTCGTTCTGAGAGTTAATAAGCCACAACACATTTTTCTATCTCAAAAGAAAGATGAAAACATAATTGAAAAGATCAACCAATCAAAACAACTAATCAACTTTTCACCAAGTAGTAAATAATATTGCACTCTTTCGAACATATATTTGTTCATTTTGATTGAAGTGTCATACCTAACAGACAACATAAACGATGAAAAGTATGACAGGTCAACCTACCGAACCGTTAAGAAACCCACCGAACCGTCAAAATTCTACATAACAATAATATGTGTGAGTAGACTTTGCAAATCAAACAAGCTGCATATGCTAAACTAACAACACCATTCGTGAATAAGCCCTGTAAATCAAACAAGTGTCGTAAGAATCGACATATATATCTTGAACAAACAACCTCAACTATTGATTTATGTCGAAGAGGAATAAAACGACGTATAAGTTCACATTCAGTTTGTAGAGAACCTTCTTTTTTTTTTCTTTTTGTAAATCACAACATTTTCACTGCACAACTACTCTCTATGAGCTTGCACTTCACATGACCCCTTTCTTTCTCTGTTTTCCTTACAAACCAGGAAACTACATAAGCCATTTTCATGTCTGCATTTTCACTTCTACATTCGATACTTACTAAACACGTCGTCGAAGGTTAGCTAGTCGATTTGAACTCTTATACCTATCTGTCTTCACAAATGAAATTACGAAAAACAGGTTCATACGGTTACGGTGCATATCAAAACTCTTACAAGTTACTACAATGCATGGACCATGTCATTCCAACATATCACACACAAATTACATCCCCTTATGCTACTAACATGTTATCGTCTTTTTTGGGGGCCATTTATTGGTCACAAAATGTGAAAATTTAATGCCAATCAGTACTTTCTTTTCCTGATTTGAGAAAAACAGCTCCTTTTAGTTGGGAAAGTAAATGCAGACAGTTGAGAGTTGTAAAACAGGAGGACTAACAGTTATTTATTACCACAAAACTCCTCTCTGTTCTGTTTCAAACTCTTTTCTCCCCCTTATGAAAAACTTGTTGTTATTTCACACTTATTCACACCACAAACAGATCTTTGCAGCTCTTCACAACTTATATGTATATATAAATATTCTCTTGCCACAGCTTTTTCAGTTCAAAAAAACTCATGATGGGTTGCTCAAAGAGGCTTTTGTTTCTCTTCACAGCTTTTGTTATTTTTGCAGCAGCCATTGATGGAGCTTATGGGTATGCTATGGTTACAGGGACTGTGTTTTGTGACCAATGCAAGGATGGCCAGGTGTCCCTTTTCGATTATCCGTTAAACGGTACGCCTTTTTTTTTTCTCCTTGCATTTTGTATTTCTTGAGTTCATTTACTTAGGATTCGAACTTTTCGCCTTTTGATTCGTATGATTTAATATTTTGCTCTAATTTCAGTAATTTGAAGACTTAAATTGCAACAAAATTTTAAATTACAGGATTTGAAAAAAAAATTTAAATTATATGACTTAAATTGCTAATCGAAAATCTGTGAATTTGAGAATTTATTGCAATTTCAATCGGCTGAAATTAAAGCAAAATATTAAATCACATGATTAAAAGACAAATTAATGATGTGAGAATAATACAGATCTTAATAACAGTTTTGCTCTCAAGCAAAACTGTCTTCACAAATAGAACTAAAATGTATAGAAACAACAAAAATAATAAGAAAGAAAAATCTCAGGTATTAAAGTGGCAATGGCCTGCCCGGGCAGTGACGGGCAGCTAACAATGTCGAGAGAGGAGACGACTAACTGGTTAGGCAACTATGCCATGAGGTTCGACGGCACGCCCGACTTGAGTGGCTGCTACGCGCAGGTCTCGGGCAGCGGTCAGGGCCCGAACGGGTGTGGGACAACTGCAGGGCCCACCAAGAACTTGAGACTAATGTTCAACATGTTTGATATGGAGATGTATACAGTGGATCCATTGCTGGCCCAGCCTGCAGAGCCCATGCCCTTCTGCCCAAAGTCATCTGGGCCCGGCCAGGGCCCTGGCCAAGGCCCAGTTGCCCCTGCCAGCCCGCCGCCAGTGACTCTGCTGCCACCACCTTCACCTCCGGTGCCTAAGTTGCCTCCGGCGCCGTTCTTGGAAGCTTCGGCTTGTCCTCACCAGTAAGTTGCGTTGTCGTTTAATTAATTTTTTTTAGTACATTAACTTAGAATTGTATATATAATCACGACCGGCCAACTTCATTCTTGTGCGAACAAAATGCATCTTATACGTTTGGCCGACATACTCCTTTTATAAATGTGCATGCATTGAGTAGAAAATGTCATACTTTTAACAAACAAGTATTAACAAACAAAATAAATAGAAGTATGACATTTGATAGTAGGGCTGCAAAAGAACCGAGTAGCTCGAGTCAAAGCTCGACTCGAGCGACTCGAGCATGTTATCGAGTCGATCTCGAGCATAAGTTTTGGAATGTCGGGCTTGTTCACGAGCGGCTCAAGATATGTAATCATCATCATCAACATCAACATACCTAGTATATTCCTAACAGGTTGGGGTCTGGGGGGTCAGTTGTACACAGACCTTACCCTTGTAATTATACAAGGAGGCTGTTTCCATAACGACCCAAGGTGCGTTGCATCGTTTGATAGATTTTTTTTTCTAGAAACTTCACTAATAGAAGAAGCACTAGAATTTAATTGAGCCATTTTGATCTAGTCCATTATTAGCACTAGAATTTTATATATGTACGTAATGGTATATTACTTGAAATGGAGTTGAAATTGAGCCGAGCTCGTGCAACCTTTCGAGCATTTTGATTTCAATCGATCTCGAGTTGAGCTCGATTCTCTTCTTTTGTCGATTCGTCTCGAGCGTCTTAAATCGGGCTCGAGTTCGAGCAAGTAAAACAACATCAATCATCATTCTTTGTTCGATATAGCCAATGCTCGACCCGACTCGGTTGGTTTGCAGCCCTATTTGATAGTATAAATGTACATTAAGTCTGTCACAAGAAAAAGAAAATCTCGAATGTATCAAATACATTATGGAATAGCACAACTAAACAAAAGATTTTAATTTATTTTAGATTCATAAGAGAATTTAAACCTTTACAAGGATGTCAGAACTAAATTTAGCATGACACTTGATGAACCGTAGGAAATGGATGATGCCCGAGTACAGATGCTACTGGAAAGTGGTGACACCTGACACGAGAGTTTCGCTCGTTTTTGGGCTGATAGCGGGCCGTAGATATGGGCCGGACTTGACCCTGGCCCAAGCCATGTACGGTCGAGGGGACCCTTACAGGACCCTTTTGAGAGAGGGCACAACTGCTCTTCTCAACTCATACAACAGCCTACAATTCCCTTTCAACTCTCTTGACGTAATCCAGCGGGTCAACTGGGCCTTACTCGGGTCGACCCGTCAAGTCCTCCACACAGCTTTGAGCTTCATGAAAGCGAATTCGGGCACGGGCACCAACACGACCTGCAACTTTAATACTTGCAGTTGATGCGATGCATAAGATTAAGTCGTTAAAAGTTTATATGTATGCATTTGTTGAATGCTAGCTACTTTTACATTAGACTTGTACTTTGCATGGAGACATAGATATTATTACAAATTGAGATATGCTTTATTGAGTACATGTTGGTTTTGCTTGAGCATGAATTGAAGGAAGAAAGATAAATTTGATATAAAAAAAAAAAAATAGTAAGAAATGTTATTGTCAGTCTGACTAGCAGTTAGACAATGATACTACAATGATACTTTTTCGATAGATGTAACATGCTACAGGATAACGTACACAAAAATATGAAGTATGGCTGATCGACTAGCCTAACGTTTAGACTGTCTTAGACAAGAGTTTTGTTGGAAAGTAACACTAGTAGTTACTTGATTATAAAATTATTGAATTAAATAAAATAGGTGCAACCATGGGAGGTTATGTAAAGTTATAAAACTCAATAGCTGCTGCATTTTTTCCGACATAAAAATTGAAAACGGAAGTTTAAGTAAACCCAGTTCAATTTTCTTCCTTCTTGCTTCTGCCCTGGGCCGCGTAGGCCCAGTCAAGTGACCAGGCCACTTCATGGGCCGGTTGAGTCCAAAAGAGTAATGAAGTCATAACCTCAAAATAGACATCATGAACTTTTTTTTATTTTTTTTTATTGCACCGGTTTATGAATTATAATATCCAATACTAACAACGTTCGTGTATTACGCGGGTGCTTGTTAAATTTTTTTCTTAAAAGTTAAAATTAATGAGAAAAAGTAGTTAAAAATTTAAATACTTTATATAAATATATATTATATATATTTTAATATGACACTTGTTATTTGTGCGACTTACAAGTGTTATATTATAATAATTTTTCTAACTTATAATATATAACTACATTAAACATGAATATATTAATTGAAAAATAATTTTATTTTTTAATTAATTTTAATAAATATTTTTTTGTTGTCGTAAAGATAAATGTAATATTTATTTTATATATACAATATGGATGTCAAATCGAAGCTCATAAAAAAATGATTAATTTGATACACTATATATATAAAACAGATAAGAAATCAAAAGTTATCAACTTTTAAAATATATTTACAATTCAATATAGGAAAATGATATTAAATTGCAATTAATACACCTAAAATATCATAAATAAATCAACATAATTATAGTAATTCGAACCTAATTAATTTTGGATTGGAATTAAATTAAAATCTATCTAAGCCAAATAATAAAACATGAAATTTTGACACCTAAGATTCCGAAGCATGCGAGCCTGCTACTTAGGCTCAGTACATTCGGGAATTATATATAGGGAGGATTGTTATAATAGAAAAATTGAGTCGAACCGATGCATCTGGTGCGGTGCGGTTCTATTTTTTAAAATTGCAATTTGTGGTATGGTTAAGATTTAGAAACAAATTTGATGTTGATTAGATTTTATGGTCGAATAGTGCGGTTTTATTAAAAAAATTATTAGATTATAGAAATCAAAATTTTGACCAAGAAAATGAGTATTTTGAATATGGTAAAAATACTTGTTAAAAGAAATTATTGCATATTTATCATATTATATTATTTATGTTAACTTTTTATTAGGAACAAAATTACTAAAAATAAAATAAAAAACGGGGAAATTTTGCATAGATTTATATATAGAGAACGTTTTCTTTAAGTAACATATAAATATCAAGATTGTATATTAATCCCTCCCGGGTCTTGTTTATGATTGTAAATGAGTCGAGTCGAATTTGAAGGCTAGCGGAGGCCTTTACCACGTGTACATAATAACTTGTACATATATAAAATGTTGGAATATCACTTGTGAGTTGTCCCACATTGATTTTGATAGGGTAAATGAGCATAGTTTACAAGTTTAGTGGGCTACTCCTCCCATCACTAATTGGTTTTGGGATAGAACCTTAATTGGGCTTCATTTGGGCTCACCTTACTATGGTACGCTTCACGTGTGTAAAACTCATTTGGGCTCACCTTACTATGGTGCGTTTCACGTGTGTAAAACCGCACTCGTTTTGCCTTCGTTTGAGATAAAAGTCTACATACACACAAACAATGAGGTTTATTTAAATAAAATATTCTAAGTGTAGAAATGAATACACAAATTATTACTATGTATCATCGTTTAATATTTGAAAGTTGACGAAATAGATTTACTCAATTACTTTACATTAAAAAGGAACTTTCCTTTTTTTATTTTATTTTTTTTTTCCTCATTGTTGCTTCGGGTTTAAAAATCATGTGGGCCAAAAGTTGAACTTAATTTTTTTTTTACCAGCCACGGTATCCGGAGCTATGCCCCGACTAATCCGTTGGTCGACTCGGGTCGCACACCTGGCAGTGGTGGGTGAGTCTCCCAACAAAGGTTTTCTGCATCCACAAGGAATCGAACCGGAGACCTTACTTAAGCGACATCAAGCTGCTTACCACTAGAGTCAACCTATGTTAGTAAAAGTTGAAGTTAATTTAATCATATGAAAATGAGTTAATTTAATCATATGATTAATCCAATTCGAACCCGGTAATTGAGGAGATTTAAGGAGCATAAAATCCCCCAAAACACTATACTTTGTCCCAAATGACGGCTGCTAATTATATAATTAGAAGATAATTAATATAGTAATTAGATAGGACCATTAGAAGGATTTTTTTATCTCACGTTTTGTTGGCGCATGTGCGGGCTTCCAACAGACAGGCCATCATTTCCACCGTGCGCCAGTTTTTTCAAAAGCATGTCAATTTTTTATACTGAAAAATTATAATAGCAATATTATTATTATTATTATTATTATTATTATTATTATTATTATTATTATTATTATTATTAT